CAACAGTTGTCCTCGTATGGTAGAATACGGTCGCACCGAAAGAGAGCATGAACAGGGTTCCCAATGACTTGGTGCCACACGGAACGAACAACCGCAGATGGCAGCAACTGAATATGATTGACAGTTTGGGGGTTAAGGGTGATCTCGTTATGAAACCGATGGTGACCCAAACATCGGCTTGTATGTGACATGCGCACTTATTACAGTTTTAGGTAGTAGGTTGGTAGACACTAATCACACACGAGTCAAATGCCCGCGGCGTATCATTATTCATTGATGATACCTAGGCCCAACGGCCCGGTTATCATCAGTAGCCACACTCAGAGCTAGGGCTTACATATCACACACCACCATAATGATCTAACTCCGTGGTGCTTAACCTACGAGCCGCGGGCCGGCTCAATGCCTTCGACCAACCCGATATTTTTACGTGTAAAAGTAATGTAAACTTCGTTCATGTTGTTTCATTAGACTCCTTCCAGGATTAATACTTAAATTAGCATCAATCAGCGATTGATGTCATAGGTCAGTGTATTTGTTGTGAATGCTCGTGTAAAGCGGTAAAGAATATGCACGGGTTCATTCCAGAGCTCTTTGAGCGTGAGGAACGGTTGTAGCGAACAGCAAGAGTTACCAAAAGAAACCAAAGGTGGACTCTGAATTCAGGACATTTCAAGAAGGATGGATAAATGCTTATTCTTTTGTTCAGCATAACGACAAAGTGCATTGTTTGGTATGTAAGAAAACAGCTGCCGTTCTGAAGGAACATGATGTGAACAGGCATTACGATACTAAACACAAAGCTACGTACTATGAATTCAGGGATCGATGTCAAGATGAAAAAATAGCTGCTGCAGAATGAAGCTGGCGGATTAAAACAATTTTTCAGAAAGCGATTAGAAGAAACCATGGCTGTCATAAATTAATTCATGCTGTCGCGAACATACTTGGCAAGATGCAAACGATGCTCGGAGAGTTAGTGAAGTAGTGTTTGCTGGCTGCTACCGTAGAGATTTGTTCAGAAAAAAGGTTACTTGTTAGAAGAATCTATATTTGACAGACATTTTGTGAATGAGCTTAGTTGCCATTTTCCATTCACTAGTGTTTACCTCTTGACAATTGTTTAAACGCTCCACTTCTTTAATCCGATTGACCAACGTGCGTCGCTGTCAAGGGACGCTCATCTTAAGTGACAGTTTCAGCAGCATCATTACCAGGAACATATTCAATTGGTTTTTATCCCCATAAATTGTTATTTGGTTATGTTAAAGAAATGCTTAATCGACATACATTTCTTGGTCCTTAATTTCCTGGTATGCAGTTCTTCCTATCCACCGTTTCGTGACCCTTGTTTAAACATGCCATTTCGATTTTTTGGTTGGGTGCACCCATCGTTGTGAATGGATGTTCACCTTACGGTTTGAGTCCCATAGTGCTAATTCCAAGGACGTATCTGATTTGTTCTGCATTTCGCGGCTGTTCATTCGCTTGTTGCATTTGGCGTTTCCCCTCTGTTTGGTTGGCTCGAATGTATTTTAGTAGTTTCCATTCGAAACCTTTTCAAAGCTATGTAAGCCAGCGCGATTTAATGCATACAAGTATTTTCCGGCTAATCTTTGGAGTTCTTCTTGCGGTCGTGGGGTGAAGGCGTCGGCGGCAACACAACACTTTTGAAGCTGTTAGCCTCTCCCTTTGTATTATTACGAGAAGACATTGGAGAGGACTTGTTGACACAATTGCAGGAGAATGCAATGGAATTGCAAGCATTTTCCATAGCACTGGATGAGTCGACAAATGTAGCCGACACTTCCGAGATGCTAATTTTCATCAGGAGAATTAGCAGTACTTTCGAAGAACCTGCATCAGTGAAAAGCTCGCACGGCACAATGACAGCAAAATATCTCTTTGGTGCAGTCAGTGCAATTATTGCTGAGTATTAACTGCCGTGGATAGTTGTGTGGAGTGACTAACGACAGAGCTAAAAATATGACTCGAAGGCATAACGGTTTAGTGATAAAGCTGCGTCATAAAGTCAAGGAATCCAATGGCAGCTCAAAGCTGATTGAACTGCACCATATAATTCTCCAAGAGGTGTTGTGTGGTAAGGTGCTGAAGTTGGAAAGTGTCATGACGACAGTAGTAAACACAGTGAATTTCACACGAGTTACTGCCTTCAATTACAGAACTTTCAGACTTTCTCCATGAAATTGAGACCGAGCACGGTGAGTTGCTGTACCCCAATGAAGTTCGATGGCTGAATAGAGGAAAAGTGCTCCAAATATGCTTAAGGCTGAGGCAACATTGTGATTTTCACGTGAAATCAAAACATGTATCGCAGATTTCAAAACTTTAGTGGTTATGGGAGCTAGCGATTTTACCTGATCTGACTGTTCACGTGTATGACCTCAAGACCAGATTATAGAGCCAGGGTAAATTGATTTCGCAAATCTATGCGATGTAAAATCGTACGAAAAGAATTTACAACTCTTCATCCAACGTACACAAAAAGGCACATTGGCGCATCTTGCTATTTCTAAAGCACTGCAGTCAGATGCACAAACCGCCGGGGTGCCCTTTCCAACAAGCCGTATGGTTGAGATGTTGGATCTACTGAGACAGTTTCAGCGAACGGGTACAACACTTACAAAACCTTGTTCGAAATCCCGTTTGGTACTGATGCTGCGACTGTGCTAGTTAACACACAATTGGAACTGACCAATCTACAGTGGTCAACAAACTTGCAGGATCTGTATCGCGAAAAGCGCCTGCTTGATTTTTATTCACATTTGTTGGATGTGTATTCGAATCATCGCCTCTACGTCATTAAAATGGTCACGTTATTTGCAGGCACCTATATTTGTGAACAAACATCTTTTACAATGAAGCGGATCAAGTGATACTGCCGTTCACGGATAACAGATCAATATACTCACGAAATCTTACGAATGAGTGTTAGTCACCTTAAACCGAACATGAAGAAGGTCGTGTGTGAAATGCAGGCGCAATCCTCAAGTTAAACATTAACGATTTGGGACCGGAACGAAAGTGTGGGAGTGACATCTTTAACCAGGTTGTGACTTAATTGGAACGAGACTGTATGAGTAAAAGCTTTAAGTTGGCTCTTTTGTACACATATGGTTTTGCTTCATTGTGTCTACAGGTGTCCGGGGTGGGGGTAGCCCCAGTTCAAGACATTCCGATGGAAATATATCATTAGCGGGGGGACGCAGCCGGCCCGCGTGCATATTGTCTATAGTTATGCTGGCTCGCTGCCCCAAAATCCTTGATCATCACTGATCTAACTAATGGGAAACAATAAGGGATACTCAGAGTAAAAGCTAAAGCCCCAAATTAAAAATTTAGGGACAAGATGTCCGAGGTTTGTCAACGACACAAGAGAACAAACATCTGATTACCATGTACGAAATGGCGGCACCAGCGAGACAGCATAGTTGTGGCTTGCACTCGCCGGTGATATAGTAAACCGCATGCCATAGACAACAACGTATTCCACATATTAAATAGGCAATCCCGCTAGGGGGCGACGGAAAATATACAAGTGGTACCGGTTGAGTGTCAGATCTGCCAATAGCTCGAGGTAAGTGCTAGATGGGCTGAGTGGATCCCGGAATAAAAGGCGCGAAGAATTAACAGCAGTCAACTCAGTAATCAGAGGATGCATCTCCGGTTGAAAGACCAGTGGATGCTTCTCTCGAGTAGCACGCCATTTTATATCCGGAAGACTAAACAGTTCTCATTGACAGGCGAAGAGCGGGTATACGTAGCACGTGCTCAAGCGAACGCAACCTAATTCGCTTCTGGTCATCTTTTCTTAGTGCACCAATCTAATTTTGTCGTTGCGGAAACGACGTTCAAAGATCAGGAGACGACTGATAAGGTCAGACCGGAAGGCCGAGCCCCAAATCTGTGGAGTAGAAAAGCTCTCAAGGCTGATAGATCTGAGTAAGCGGGAAACGTGTTGGGAAATGCGTGTACCAGCTGAGAAGCAAAGATGACACATACCGCTGTATCACCCACCTCACTACTTTTGAATTGAACTGTACACGGGGTGTGATTTTCTCCACAGAGTCTGGTAAACATACGCGTCCTGCGCATGCTCAAGCCTACAGTGATGGACAAAATACGAAACGGATACAGCAAACGAAGCGAGACGACGAGAAACAAGTGAGCGGCCTGCGTTAGTTCCATAGCTCTATATGTCATTTGTGGCAGAAAGGCCAACTTAGGTTGCTAAGCAAACGCCATTTGCCTTCATTACAAAAATGGATACTGTGGATGCATTGCTGTGGTTCTTCAGTCACGTTGCCTTCTCGATTGACAGTTAGCGACTGACTCCATCGCCTTGACCTCGAAAACTATCGGCTGCTGTGCTATATTAAGCCAATGGTAAACACCCGACATACCGTCGTTAGCTTAGGAAACATTGGGAAAATAAAACATCAGAAGGACCTGCCGGACGGTCTGCGTTTTGGCCGCGCTCTTCTTAGAACGAGTGACCTAGAAAGTAGCGGAGGAACAAATGAAGAACCCCAGGAGATAAAGCTGTCGAGCTAGTGTGTGGTAGGTGAATAGTGTATAAAACTAGTAGTGTGATCAGGTGTAGACGGCAGCGCTTGGCAAGTAAAAAGAATACTACCAAGACTTAAACGGAAGAGTAGTTTAAAAAGTACCTAACAAGTTGTAGTTACAAAAGCGATCGCAATCAAACCGCGAACTCTAAGAGTGAGACGTAGCCAGGCCATGCGCGTTGTCAAAGCTGACAAACTGAGCAATAATAAGCAAATCCTTCCTTCATTAGGTCAGATAGTGAAGCAGACAAAAGAAGCCAGATCCGATCGAAGAACAAAATATACGAGGACAACGGGAAAACAACATTAGAGGCTTGCGAACACGAAGAGAAATCACAGGAAAGATGTGCAGAAAGTTAAGTTTGAAAGAGTGCAGCTTCAACGTAGATGAAAAGAATGAGTGCAACTCACGAAAGTAATCCAAAGTACGTTCGATTTGCTCTGTCGTTAGCTCTGGCGTCTGCTCCTCGTCGCTTGACAAGATCGGTTCCGGAGTTGAACTGGATGATATGCACCTTAGATGATCCTCCTCTCTAACCGATCCGGACAGATCTTCTTCGCTTGGAATGGTGGTCAGGTCGGAGGGTCGCGTGGGCAATGGATGAGCTCGATAAAGACAATGAGTGGCACGCCGAGCTCCAGAGAAATCCTTGTGTTTATAACCGATGAATGCAGTGCACGGGTCCACACGCAGACGGTAGCGCGGGATTCGGATGGTTGGTTGGATAATGCTCACCAGTTCGATCTCGGCAAGTGGCTCGCGTGAAGGATGTCCTTCGGATGTATATTGACTACTATACAAACTGTCAAAAAGCGATGGCTCCGCTTCGGAAAATGAATAATCAGACCGAGATAGAGCCGGAGTATTCTGACCAACAGCGGTCAAGTTGGTTGATAGAAAGGAACATATACCGGAGGTGTTACCAGACAGTTCACTATGGAACGAGCCGCGAATGTCTGAATTGCACAAACAATCTGATTCTGGTTTCGAAATGGGGCAATGACGACAGTCACATGCTGATTGACTCGGTTCAGCTGTTCACAAGTACAAGGGGAAGTGCAAAAAGTAACTGTTACACTAAAACGTACTGTGGAGACTAAAACACCGCAAGGTAAATAAGAAATAGGAGGATAATGATCAATGGTATTCAGGAACGTGTCAAAAAGTCACGTAAATGGTAGCCATGGCTATTACGTAAATAAACTGGTGACTATGCAGTATATCTGCTTACTGATGGGAGCAATAAGACGGTAATGCTGAAGTCCGTCCGTCCATGTTTGGGAGAGGCTCTCTGGTGCCACATGAAGTACCAGTTAAATTGGAACTGTTTACGTCAGCTAGATCAGGCCCTTCCCGTGTCCGTTTAATCGCCTTTATGACACCCAGCTTGGCGAAACCAAGGGAGGACAGTCGATGATGGGACCAGACATAAGGAAATTGTCATTGTCGTAATCTTGGATGGCAGAATATGGATCTTCTATGGAAATGGTTAGAGACCTTACTCGGCATGGCACAGTGGCGTTCAGTCCTCTAAAACAAACATTCCACCCCGATTAATGTTACGCATCCTCCTTTGCTGGACAACATCACGGTGTTCTACTTTGTTATCTACCACATTTCACCATTTGTGTAATATTAGCAACAAGGTAACGCGAGTTAGGGCAGGTTGGTCGACCGCACATCGGTTCGCGGACCAGTAGCTGAAGTGAAATGAATCAATGGCCTTGTGATTTGAATCAGGAGAAGACAGCGTTTTCGCAGAGCCATGGGGGGAAAATGGGTACACACCAAAAGACCGAGAACGATAGATGAGGGTGAGGCAAACATAATCATGTCATCAGTGGTCAAAGACATTCCACTCTGAATGAGGTTTAAACCGCCATGCCTGTTCTCTGCGTTCGATATGCCACAAAAAGGCAGAGGACTATACACATTGGTGGTGGTCTGCGTTTCGACAGGCACTTGCAGTTATCGCGCAGTGACATATGGGAACCTAAGGTTTTGTCCCTGGTATAAAAACTGTACTTGAAAGCGTCTACCTACGGGATAGATGGAATTGATAGCTGCTAGTTAACAAATTCACAGGAAACAACAGTTCATTAAAATACAAAATATATAGTAGAGCCAAACATCTTATCGTAGCTAAGATGACGACTGAAAAGTTGATACACAGAAGTTGCATCAGGCAATCGAAACCACCGTGAACTATGGAGGGCATTTGGAGCAATCGAGTTGTCACAGTGCAGGTAGACAAAAACAATCCGGTACACATCACTAGGCCCATTCTCTCCGCTCGCTCCCCCTATCAAGCTAAATATTGCGGTTGTCCTACGCGAAAGAGAGGCCTGGAGTGATCTCAAAAACTAAGAGTGTACGTTCTTAAAAAGTATGCCGATTCACGAATATTATTAACAAATGTCTAGAAATTAGCGTACCCGATTTTTAACAGGCACCCATGTCGATGAAATTCGTAGGTTTATGAACACTTGTGCGCCAATGCGGATTCCGTAGGGTAGCTTGTAAATGCAACAGCATTTGTCACGGGTACAAAATACAGATGTGAGAGGCTTCTGTTCCTTGACTATGCAGAGGTTTACGTAAGTTTTACTAAATCAATGTTGCACAATCTGCTAGTAGAAGACGGAGTTCGTTCAAATGTATCTCATTCAGCAATTAACTTACAGATAACACATAGTTCGCCCAATCAAACGGTAACAAAGCCTGCTTGCTGGCGGCGGTGTTTGGTAAAAATCATCCCCGTTACTGCTTTTTTCATCACACGTTGAGCGATTTCCTGCACATTCAAACCTATCGGATGGGAACATGCCAACGGTGTTGTCTTTTATGTGCAGACCCTATTGTCTTTGGTGCTTCGAAGTGGATCAGAGGAGTCAGTGAGACAATCATCATTCAGGCCCCCGGCTCTCAATATGTTTCTGAAGGAAGTGACAATGCTTGTGTACAGCCCTTTCGCAAATAGTTCCCGCAAAAATCGGGCGCACCTCACCCACTGTTAAGTATATCCGTCTTTTGTACAAAAATCGGCCCTGGACTGCACATGTTTAGGAAAAGCTTCATGGTCGGAGCACAATATTCATAGTTTTCAGACTTAAAACGGCAATAAAATTGTAGCCTGAGTTTGCAATTACATGCATGCTACCCTAATGGTTGTACTTTTTTATCCCACTATTCTCCCCAGCCTCTTTCGAAATAGCACCAACTACAAAACCAAAAGACATGATCTGAATTTCATTGCGTAGAAAGAGATCAGCAAATGCTACCGTTAGTAAGCATCATGGTGTGGGAGTATCCAAAATGTTTGTAGCTCTGAGTGTAGATGGGGATTTTAAGACGCTCTTCCGATTGGGTGAATGCATTACAGACGTTTCGTCGCCAGGCTCTACGTACCAAACCCAGAAAACTGTACCAATGATGCCACCGTCCATCCTGGCAACGAGACATCTGCAAACTAGGCACGCACCTCGGGGAACAACTGTTACGCCAGGCGATCCGGTGCTTTAAAAATACTATTTCGTCCCACCACCCTGACCGTGAACTTCACTCTCACCCACTGCTCTAGGGTGGTTCGTATGCATGAGGCCGCCGACTGTGCGAGCGGCCTGACACACAAAATTCAAGTAGCTAGGCAGCTATATTAACTTTTGTGGGATAGACGATGGGTGAAACCTTGAAGCGCTTTTGCCAACCGTCGCCTGTAGCGTCGGTGTGACATTAATTTCGCTCTGTGGGACAGATTTTACTATGCAACCCTGTGTTCAACCCTCTTGTAGGGTTGTGAAACCTGGCCTATTAAACCAGCAGACGTAAAGAGTCTAGCTACGTTCGACACCGTGTGAGTAATGGGCATGTTCGACGCCTAGTTTATGGTACAGGAAGAGGAAGTGAACCTCTCATCACTGTTATTACACGGGAAAAACTCCGATAGCTGGGCCACATGTTGCGCATAAGAGCACACTGACTCCCGCGACGTGCGTTGTTTGCGCGCCGGATGTGTGGATAGAAGAGGGAGAGGCAAAGCGATGAGTTGGTTAAGAGGAATGAAAGCTCTCACTTCGAACTCGACGTCACTTGATGCTTCTGACCACTGGGCTGGTCTCGGAAGGATGATGAGGACGTTAGGTTGGGTACACCTGTTGACATGGTGAACAGCCAGCCTCAACAATGTTTGTGTTGTCTTTCATTGTCCCTCTATCACGCATATTTCTCTCCTCCAACAAGGATACCACTCCCAAGGCATAATATGAGATCAAGCAGTAACATTCTTGTTTTTGGGTCTTTTCTTGTATTCTATAAGGTTTCATATCTCACTTTTGTATCGCGACACAATAGCTGTGCTGTTTCTCACCTCTTTGACTAACGTGTAATAATGATGAGGATGTGTATTTAGGGATCTAGTGAGATACGTGCGGGCATTGATCACGTATTGGTCGGAACCATTAGCTATATCCAGCTTGGCATACATTTGACGGATGGCATCTGCCAGGAGTAATAAAGCGCTATGATGTCTAGCCAGATGAAGCAGTGGACGAACGATGTAAACCCGCTTTCAGGGACCAATGAGTATCGAGTCACATGTATATGTAACGAGCATGGCCTTGTGTGAATATCATTCGTGGAATGCACTGATTGCTGTGGTTTATGTCGTGGTAAAGAGGTGATTTCAGAGCCTTTCCTCAAGTTGTTTTGATACAATGTTTAACATATAAATGAATATTTGATTAGAAACTGGCGTGCGGTGGGCGGTGTCAAAGTAGCCCAGCGAGAATCAGAACAAAACATGCTTCATTGAAAAAGAGTGGGCTAGTTAATACCGTACGCAAATTTGAATATTTTATTGAAGTGCACCTTCAATGACTGATTCTTCTAGCCAACAGCCTGAGTTCATTGGCTCACGTCTATCGTTCCTTCGCAGCTTTTGGAACCACTCTTATCTTGACAGGAAGAAAGTTGTGCGTTGTTCACGATACCCCAACCCAATTCTGGGCTGTTCATAAATTCTTGCAAATGTGGTTAGTTTGCGCCAGTTGGTTTTTCTTCCGCCGCCTCTGTCCGTTACGTTCGCTCGGTCGATCAGTTACATCATGCGCCATCCGCTCAGCGGCAGTGTCGCGTGAAGGCAACCCGCCTGCCTTTGTTGGGGATCAAAAAGATGCCAGACTCGCAACAGTGCAACCCAATTCCTCACTGTTCATCAAGCCAGTGTAAGCGCGATCAACTTGCGCTCGAGGCGGTGAATGGGTTACCAGTCCATTGGCCACGCACCGGTTTCGCTGGCGTAGCCTGCCAGCTAGCAACTAAGTGGGCATGTGCCTAAGGTGTTAGGATAGACTTCGGAAGTGTGGGTACGCAGAATATTCAAAGTGAGAGAACGTACCCTCTTAGTGAATCAACGGGAGTATAATGAAAAATGGGCATGTGAAATTAAAAAAATGGTAGAAATACAAAGAACTGGGGCCCAGACGAACCCGTTATTGTGGTGAGCAGATAGACCAAGTATGTGTACACATGAGGCGTCTATAAGGTAGGCCGAGGTATTGACAGATTATAGGTTAGCGTGACTCGGCTACATTGGTAGTAGCACCACTCAAAAGGGTGTGGAAAGCAAATATGCAGACAAAATTTCACAAGTGCAGAATTTACTGACATTTGACAGTTAATGAACAGGTGTGGATTGATCGCGCAAAGCCAAAGGGGGGGACAATGCAGGCGTCCACAACTTATCGGCGGGGGAAAGGAACCAGTATGCCACTACGCCAAGCGGCATTAAGAGCAAGGCACCTGGATGATGACCAGCTCGCTAGCGTATTTTATCTAAATTGTAGCGTGGAAGGCGCCCCGAAAGTGGGGGCTATGCACCGAAGGACACTAGTCAGCATATCTGCAGCCGATAGGAGGGAAGAACAGCCTTGGTAGGACATTACAGTTATCCCGTAACATGTAGGGCTATTTACCGTCAAATTAGCTGCAAAATATTCACTCCCCAGTTTACTTACAATTGGATGGATGCTGTCCT